GACAGCATTTTCATGCAGGATGGCGCTCCAGCTCATCGGTCTGCCAGAGCGCAGAAGTGGTGCCGGGAGCACCTCCCCAACTTCTGGGCTAAGGACACGTGGCCAGGGAACAGCCCTGACCTGAATCCAATTGAAGAGCTCTGGGGGATAATGCAGCAAGAGCTGGACAAGAAAAAAACTCCCAGCAACCTTGGACAGCTCGAGAAGGCGCTCAAGAGGACGTGGGCGAACATCAGCCCACAGACTCTGAAGAACCTGGTGGCCAGCATGCCCGCACGTCTCTCACTCTGTGTCCAGTTTCGTGGAGAATACATTGACCGCTGAAATGAAACTGTTGTTTTAATTTTACGGGAGGGAGGGAATGAATGGTAAGGTATCAAAACTTTTGCCGCACCCTGTATTGGTCCCTGTTGATGGTTCAACTGAAATATATCACCTGAAAGACCTAAAAGGTCATCCGAGGTCACCTGAGGTCACCAACGGTTTTTGTGCAATAACTTGTGATTGAATTGAGATAGAGACTCCGTTCGACGTTCATTGTGTTTGTCTCGTCGATGCGCATCAAATGAGATACAACATGACCTATTTCGGTGAGGTCATGACCTTGACCTGAGGTCAAGTCTTCAACTTGACCTTTCGAGGTCATATTATATATCATTCGATGCGCCTTGACGAGCTGAGAACGATGGCGTTCGAATCGATCCGCTATCTTTTCGGGAAGATCAGTTATTGCCGAAAAACTACCGCGAAATTCCCGTTCTGAAAATCGTAACATTTTGTCTTCGGTGACCTCTGGTGACCTCGTTTTTTTTTTACCTGAGACAAAAATGACCTTAGTATTTCCTCTAGATCTTGTCCCACCCTATCCAACGCCGTTCGCCGCTTGTCGCTACGTTGCGTAGTTTTCGAGATCTCTGGGGGGCACATATGTGCCCCCCCCCCCTCCCCCGGCAGTGCGAAGGTGGCTCAGACCCCCGGTAGTGCGAGGGTTAACAAATTTTATCTTTCATTGCAGATGTCAGCAGTGGATGCAGAACTGCAGGCGACAGGATCTTCTTGACAAATCAGCAGAGTACCTGCACAAGAACATCACACTCTGTATCGATCACTTTGAGCCATCTCAGTACAACTCTGGTAGCAGGAGGCTGAAAGGAGATGCTGTGCCGACATTGTTCTCTGTGCCGAATCCACCAAAGATGAAACTTCTGAAGAGAAAGGCTCCTTGTAAGGGGGAAGAAGCCACAAAACCGAAGAGAACTGCAGGAGAAGACAAAGAAAACATCCCAGTGACTCCAGAAAATGTGACTCAAGCTGCCAGTGCCGCGAACATGTCAGCTGCCAGTGCTACCACTGTGTCAGCTGGAGATGGCAATCTCCCATCCAAGGCAGTGACTGCTGCACTGAGCAGGGAAGAAAAGAAGAGACTGCACAACAAGTTCTACTGCAGGCTTTACCGAGCACGCAAGAAGCTGCAAAAACAAGCCAAGAAAAAACCAACTGTTAAACCAGAACAGAGTCTGAGAGCAGCAGACCTCCCGGGACCGATGCGGACGTTCTTGCTCCAGCAAGTGAAAATGGCAGGTGTGAGTGGCAGGAGAAAGAATGGCAGAAGGTATACGAAGGAGGAAACAGTAATGGCTCTCAGCTCTGTACTACCAAAGTCCTAAGGCATACAGACACCTCCAGAAAGCCCTCATCCTGCCCAGTCCTCGTTTGCTGCGCAGCAAGGTCGAGAAGGTCTCGCTCAATACCGGCTTTCATGCCGCGATCATTGCCGCTCTGCGGGATAAGTTTGGAAACGGGGCCAGTCACCTCGACAAAATGGTCTTGTTTGTTGATTGGGGCTTTAGGGCGCGCCGACTGCCAAGGTCATCTTGCGCCCATAACGTCGTACTAATAAAACAAGTGTGCATTTTGTCATTTGACGAAATCACCATCAAGCCCCGACTGGTATACAACCGCCCTCAGGATATCATTGAGGGCTTCGAAGATATGGGAGGTCTGGGCCGGACCGGACGTGTTGCCACACAGGCTCTCGTCTTCATGGCGAGAGGCCTCACCAACCGGTGGAAATTGCCGATTGGCTACACTCTCCACTCCGGACCTGCTTCAGCACGGGTGATGGAGCCACTGCTGATGTCAGCTGTGCGTCAGCTGCGCAACGCCGGGCTGACTGTGGTCTCCACGGTCTGTGATATGGGGAAGCCCAACCAGGAACTGTACCGACTGCTGGGGGTGACGGAGACAAGTCCCCAGTTCGATGTTGACGGGACGCCGGTGATGGCTCTCCACGATGTTCCGCACATCTTCAAATGCGTCAGGAACGGGCTCCTCAAGCATGATGTGGAAGTTGATGGCGAGACATTGTCATGGTCACACATCAAAGCGTTCTACAACGCAGACAAAGACCGACCCATCAGAACCGCTCCAAAGCTGGGACCAGAGTATGTGCAACCAGATGCCTTCAAGAAGATGTCCGTGAGGCTGGCCGCACAGATCATGAGCGCATCAACTTCCGCTGGAATGCGCATCTACCAGTCCTTTGGTAAGTTGGTGAATCTGTTCTCGAAATAAGTGTGGTCGGCAGCGATGAACAAAGTATCGTCACGATTGTTTTTAAAGGGTACACACAATTGCTTTGTTTATTTTGTCTTACGTTGTGAGAATGATGGCAAGTAATGTCGGTCAAATAATGTCAACAACAATAATTTTTGCTATATAAACCACAGTTATTTTGAGTTAATTCGTTGTAACGGTAATGTTCTTCTTTTATTATCACAGTGACGGCCAATTATCGTTGGTACCGAGCGCAGTTTTTTTCTATTGCGATACTTTAATTAAATTTGATAAAGCGTCCTTGTTCTTCTCAGGTCATTGTATGATAGAAATATTGGTTTTCTTGCAGCTCTGAGGTAAAAGTTGCTTTACCAAAATCGGTTTTATTGATTACCCTGGGTTGATTACCCTTTTTGCATACCTGTTCTCCCATCTTGCGCACATTGTGTGAAAATTTTGACCCAATGTGACCTAAGGTCAGGTCACCAGGTCAGATTGAGTGACCCAACCTCACAAAAAGTTTGAACTTGCACCAAAGCTACAACTGTTGAGCGATCAATATGAAACTGTTCGGATAGTCTTAATGGTTATTTCCTCGCGTTGTGTTACGCTTAGCTTTTTAACTTAATGCTTTATTTATCTTAACTTCGCTTAACTTTCTTAAAACAACTTAATGGCCTCGTTCTCCTTTTTCTCTATATTTTCTTGACCCTCGTTCTCTCGTCTTGCCCGACCTCATGGATGATATAACACTGGATTGGTGTCTCGTGGAAATTAACATTGGGATCCGCGACATTGGGATCAGGCCTGCCATCTAGCGAGAGAATTATCGTAAGTTAGGAGCAAGCCGAGTGAACGCCATCTCTCAGCATTATGACACACGTGGGTGTGGTGTGTTAGTTGGCTTGAAGTGCATTTTCCCACGAGTTGGAGGTAATCTTACTGGACCTGAGACGACAAAAAATGTCTTAAATGCTTGTAAGCCAAAAACGTCAAGCAGCCTTTAGGTAATAACGAAAATAAAATGCGTAAGACGGTGTGTAATGAAGCGCCCAGTCCCATCGGCTTGTACGACCTTTTATATTGTCATTTACTCACAATGGTACAGCAGTTTGACAATATGTCACTTACATATTTGGTAGGCTTATTCCTTCTTCTCCGAATTTCGCCCTATTTTCTTCATCTAAGTTAATGTTACGGCACGTGCCACGTGCCAACTTAGGGGTGTCGAAATTGTTCCACATAAAGTAACTCCGCAATGGCTGGGCCAATTACAGTAAAACTTCGTCAATAGTTAGGCATCCAGTGGCCAATGCATTTCCATGTGTCACTATGGGGGTGCTACTGCACGTGCGGCCCGGCGCACGTGGGGGGGGGGGGGGGGTGCCGCTTCCATATCTCAAGAACGACTGGGCGGATAACACTCAAACTTGGTACACAAATGTCACATCGATGCTCGCACTGCATTGATCAGTGCTTACATTGGTGCAGAGTCGTAAGGAAAACGATGAAATGAGATTCGTGGTGTTAATGCCTTTCTGTTCCAGCAGCTGATTGATTCGCAACAGGAGATCCTTGTTTGTGAACGCTTTGTCTCCCTTTTCCACCCCTTGTTTAAAATAACATTAACAATGTACATACGAAGAAGATCACACATCAAAGTTGTTTTAGGCGGCTATCTTGGGCCAGGGCTGCGAAGTTGTAGTCAGAGCCAGCGGTTCTGTTCCGACTCGAAGTCGGTTAATTTTTAAAAGCTGTAGTCGGAGATGAGTCGAACGTCACCGAAAAGTCATCGACTCCACAGATTCACCAGGGCTGCAGAGTCGGAGTCAGAGTCGGAGTCTGTGTGAATCGACAGTTCTGCCCGGAGGAGTCGGAGTCGATATTTGGATACCGGAATCGGAGTTGGAGCCAAAGTCACTGAAATTTCATCGACTACGCAGCACTGGTTGGGTCCTTTTCATATAGCGTCTTGAATGACATATTGAACGGCAATGACGTTAGCAATTCCGTTTAAGTTTTTCATTAGACTTATAGATAGTTACTTACGTTCGCTTTGTTCTTTGATCGGACAATGTGTTTGATTTAGGCCAAGTAAAGACTCATGTGAAAAATAGCGAAAACGACACGTGCTGGCGAAGTCTCCAATAACTCCCTGTTTCACGATTTAATGAGGAAATAACATGGAACTGCTTATCTTATTACTGACCCTGCACATAAATCTATTAATTTCTTCGCTGTTACTGACATATAAAGACATAACCTTTTGAAAAATTGCACAACAAGCCTGCTACTACACCACACTCCCGTGTGTCACAATGCTAATCAGCGGCGTTCACTCGGCTTGCTCCTAACTTACGATAATTCTCCCGCTAGATGGCAGGCCTGAGCTCAATGTCGCCAAAAACTGCGAAGACACCAATCCATTATTATCTCATCCATGCCGACCTCAATACGATAATCATCACAAAACATATGTGCACGCGACATGTGTGATAAAAGAACCTCTGTAACACCCCCCTCGACTTTGAATTGACACGAATTCAACCAATTCTACATAGAGGTATCACTTTCACATTTCCACTACTTTGACTACTGGCTACTACTTCACTGGAGCACATCGATGTGAATCAGCTTCACGACTGGTCTCGTCACGACCTTATTGTGCAGTTTCACTGTAGCCACACGCACGTGGCCATCTTTCCCCGGTAACACTTCCTCGATTCGCCCCAGTGGCCACTGACTCCTCGGGGTATTTGCGTCGATCACCAGGACCAAATCGCCTGATTTCAAGTCGGTCTGAGGCTTCAACCACTTTGACTTCGCCTGGAGAGCTGGTACATATTCTCGAAGCCAACGCTTCCAAAACTCTATGGATAGTTGCTGGAGCCGTTTCCAGCGCTGCCGAAGAGTTGTAGCGTCATCCTGTGATGCCGGTGAGGTCTCGATGCTAGCCGTCCCCAAGATGAAGTCTGCTGGCGTCAGTGGCTTCTCATCGTTGGCGTCAGCTGAGACGACTGTGATTGGTCTGGTGTTCAGCAGTGCCTCGGCTCGGCAGAAGGCAGTTTGAAGCTCCTCATCGGTAAGATCGGCCCTCTCGAGTGTTCTTTTCAGAGCCCGCTTGGCGCACTTGATCATTGCCTCGCACGCGCCGTTGAAGTGGGGAGCTCCTGGTGGGGTGAATTGCCACCTGATACAATGCTTTGACAGCTCTTCCTGCACTTTGCTTGAGTCAATGCTTCTTACCAAGCACTTCAGTTCCTTCGTGGCTCCGACAAAGTTCCTGCCGTTATCGGATGTGATCTCAGACGGTTTGCCTCTTCTGGATACAAATCTCATGAGAGCTCTGATGAAGCTGTCCGTGTCTAGCCCATAGGCCATCTCGAGATGAACAGCTCTTGTTTGTAGACAGCTGAACAGGCACAAGTATCGTTTCTGTCGTGTCTTGCCTCTTCCTTGTCTGGTTTCGAATGGACCTGCATAGTCTACTGCGCATTTGTCAAACGCTCGAAACGATGGACAAACTTGACTGCCGATCTTAGGAGCCATCAGCTGTGCTTCCGGTTTCTTGCGGCCCTTTTGACAGACGATGCAGTTTCTCACCACTGACTTGATGAGTTGACGGGCTCCTAGTATCCAGATGTGACGTCTGACTTCGGACAGAGTGTGCTCCGTCCCCATTGCATGGTCTGCGTCCTCATGGTGCTGTCGAATGATCAGCTTGCTGATGTGATGTCTCCTTGGTAAGATAGCCGGATGCTTTGAATCAAACGCCAACTCAGACTTCTGAAGCCGGCCTCCGACTCGCAAAATTCCATCTTCATCCAGGAAAGGGGTAAGTTGTTTGATCGAGCTCTGCTTACGTGACTTCTTGCTTGAGATTCCCCCTGTTACTTCGCTCTCTCTTCGTAGTTCTTTGATTTCAGAACCGTACGCCTCCTCTTGTACTTGACGTATCCAGAACTTCTCGGCTCTCAGCAGTTCGTCTGGGTCTAGCTCTACTCTCTGAGCTTCTTGGACTTCATGTTCTTCACTTGCTGGTTCTACTCTACACCTCACCGCCTGGATGAATCGCCACACCCAAGCGGTTACACGCACTAGTCTGCGCCATGTAGAGAAGTTCTCTGGTCGAAGACGGAATTCGTCTGGCATGTCTGGAACAGAAATTGCCAGCACTGTTTTCTGAGGTGCTTGTTTCTTGAACTCCGTTTGATCATGCTCTTCTTTGTTGAACTCTTTCTTCAGAGGCCACTGATCTTTTCCTTTCAACAGGTAGGCCGGCCCATGCCACCAAAGTTCATTGACGCGCAGCTGCTCTATCGTCAGACCTCTCGTTGGCAGGTCGGCTGGGTTTTCGACACCAGGTACGTGTTGCCACTGGTCAGGCTTGGTCATCTCTCTGATCTCAGAGATACGATGGGCCACGAATGCTTGGAAGCGGCGAACTTCATTTCGGAGCCAACACAAGACGTCCATGGAGTCGGACCAGAAGTGAACGTCATCAACTGGTATCTTGAGGACTTCACAAACTTTCTTCACAAGACGTACTCCGAGAAGTGCCCCCATCAGTTCCAAGCGTGGAATGGTGTGCTGCTTTGCCCGTGGTGTGACTCTAGCACGTGAAAGAACTAGATGTGAGGAGCGCTCGCCACCATACTCAGACACTACGTAAATTGCTGCTGCGTAAGCCTGTTCTGATGCGTCGCAAAAGACGTGTATTTCTTGCTTTGGTGTTCCTTCATATGGATGCAGGCATCTTGGGACTGAAAGACTGCCGAGGTCACCGAGCTCAGAGAGCCACTCTTTCCACTTGCCTTCTAGGTCTTCTGTTAGTGGATCATCCCAGTCCACGCCTGCGGCCCATGTGTCTTGGAACAGCATCTTCGATCGTACTACAAATGGTGAGAACAAGCAGAGCGGGTCGAAGACTGCTGCCATCTCCTTCAAGCAGCTTCTCTTGGTGAGAATCTCAGTCGAGCGTTGTCTTGAAGAATCGACGGACAAGCGGTCTTCTTTTGTCGACCAGACAACGCCCAGCGTTTTGGTGGAGGCTGAACTCCTTTCTTCAATGATATGTTCAGCTTCATTCGCACGGTCTTCTTCAGGAATGGTGCTCATCACCTCTTCACGGTTTGACATCCACTTTCTTATCTTCATTCCAGCTTCTTGCAGTACCCTAGCTACTTGTCTTCTTGCCTCCGCGGCTACTGTGCTGGATTCATAGGAGGCAATGCAGTCATCCATGTAGAACATGCTGGTGAGGGCCTCAGCTCCAAGTGGATATTCGTCCGCCCGTCTTAGAGCGTGCTCCCTTAACACGTACTGAGCAACAAAAGGAGCGGCAGCATTTCCGAATATCCAGCGATTTGCTTCATATATTGTTGGGTTTTCATCTGTTCTCATGTTTCTCCAGAGTATTCTGTGATATCGTCTGTCTTCCGGCGCCAGCTCCACCTGGAGAAACATTTCAGATACGTCTCCGATCAAGGCGACTGGATGTCGACGAAATCCGACGAGTGTCTCCGTCAGGTCACTGTAGAGAGATGGACCGGGGAGCAGTTGTGAGTTCAGGCTGATGTCTCCACACTTGGCAGCTGCGTCGTAAACGACTCTGACCTTCGTCGTCGATCTGTCGTTTCTAACGACTGGGAAGTGTGGTAGATACCACACTTTACTTTCGAGTTGTCCGTGCTCCTCGTCTGTGATTGCTGTTAGATATCCTTTGTGGACGTACTGTTCAATTACATCATTGTACTTCTTTGGAAGATCTTCGTCGTACCGCCTTAAAAGAGATCGTTCTGTATTCACGAGTCGACTCATCGCCATGCCGTAGTTGTTCTCGAGTGACGGTTCTTCATTGCGCCATGGCACTGCTGCTTCGTACCGACTACCCGTGTACTTCAGAGACTTCTTAACCTTCTCAACTGCAGTCTGTTCTTCACGTGAGAGAAGATGCTCTTCGCTTGACTTCACCTGCATCAGTTCCAAGTCAGTCATTGACTGCATGATCTGGACCTCATCTTCAAACACTCTTTTCTTCACATGTGTTCGCAGGGTTTTTGCAAAGTTTGACATGTTTTTCAGGCATGACACATCTTCACTGGTGTTTTCAGCTGCTCTTTCGATACAGCCGAACGCTGTCCAACCGAGCGGTGTGAGCACTGCCACTGGCTCTCCGGTCGTGCCAAGAACAGTATCCAGTGGCACGAAGAGGGGCATCGTATCGGCGCTGATTCCTATCAGCAGATCGACCCCACGACTTCTTGACATCTCCGGGAATTGGATGTGTCGCAGATGCGCCCACTTCTTCTTAGCGTCGTTCCAGTTTATGCCCACAGATGCTCCGTCTAAACTGGGTATGACGAACACGTTCAGAGCGGCTTCATAACTGCTGTGCAGGCTGGATAACTTCACAGAACCTGCTTTCATAGTGACGTCTTGTGTGCCGGTCACCGTTCCCAGCTCAAACTTTTGGCTCGTTCCATTGAATTCGATCTCGGATGCAGCTGCTTTACTGATGAATGATGCGTCAGAACATGGGTCCAGTAGCGCGTTGAGGGTAACCGAACGGCCGTTGTGGTGCACGCGCACTGGAACTGTCTGGAATGCGGTCGCTCCTTTTCCTGGTGGTGATCTGGAGGCTGCCGTATTGTAGCTTATTCCGGAGCTTTGTGTGTTCCCGCTACTGCTACTGCTGGTGGTGTTTGGCGTGTTGCGCGATGGCTGACATCCACTGCTGTGAGCTCCTTCTTGGCGGTATTGTGACCAGCTCAACTGTCCGCTCTGTTCTAGTTGACCTTGCTGAGGTAGATGGCTCGTAGTCTGACGGTTCTGACTTGTGTTCTCCGTCTGTCGGTGCTGCTCTTTCAGCCGTCCTCTCTGTTCCAGTTGCTTATCTTGTCGCAGACTGGCATGCAGTAAGGTGTGGTGGCTTCCTCCACACCCCTCTAACTGACATCCAGGAAACCGGTGGCATCTTATTCCACGATGTTGTCCGGCGAGACATCTAAAACAGATTCTTGTCTGCTTACAGAACTCGTATCTTTTGCCCACTGTCCAGCTCTGAAAAACAGCACAGCTCTCCAAGGCGTGATCAGCTTGACAAACCATGCAGTTTGTATCTGACGGCGGACTGAAGGACTGCCGCACTGCTGGCTGATGTTGATTCTGGGTCTTCACTCGGAATGTCTTCCTTTGCTGATGTCGAGTGTTTGGCATGCTGCTCGTGGTTTGTGTCATTTGCTTTGCTCTTTTCTCGAATAGCGCTTCATCTGTCAGCCACTCGGCGAATGACTCGAAGTTGTCTTCTCTGTGCTCAGTGCTTAGCCATCTGTTGTAGTTCTTCACGTAGAAATGATGGAGCTTCTCTACAACAAGTAAGTAGTATGCAGACGTGTTTGTGAGATCTGACACGCATCCACCTTCCTTTAAGTTTGTCACTAAACTTGTCACTCTGTCAGAGAATTCTTCTAGCCGCTTGGTTTCATCCACTTGAATCGGCCGCGTGCGTCTTATTGAATCAAGCTCGTTTCGGATTTTGAACATTTTTCCACCGTATTTCTTGTCTAACTCTTCTTTCGCCTTTGCATATCCCGTTTCTGTGGGTCTGTACCTTTCTACAATTCTCAGAGGCTCTCCCGCGATATAGTTTTTCATGTAAATCATCTTGAACTTAGCCGGTATTTTCTCGCTGTCGACGAATGCATTAAACATCTCCGACCAGTCACTAAACTGCATCTGATCCCCACTGAAGACTGGCAGCTCAGGCTTTTTCAAACCAGGAATCGTGCACGCTTCTACTTTCTCAACTTCTTTCACTGAGCCACTGGAGCTGTGCGAATCTGAACGATCTGTGTTCTGATATCTTTTGGCGAATGTATTTATTTGCTAGCGAGACCGAATCAGCGATGTCATTCTCTAGAGCTTCATAATTCTTCCACAGAGGTCCTGATCGCACAGATGAGCCGTCTTCTGAGTTATCTTCATCTTGCATAGTTTCTACTATGTCCAACAACTGTGTCGTTAGCTCTCCCAGCTTGGCAATCAGTGCTTGTATGACTGAGATTGATGCGCTTCCCTCTATGAGCATAGCATGTAATTCACACTCGTCGTTACGTATCTGCGTCACTAACTTTTGCTTTCGCCTATACAAACTATGAGGCACACTGGCTTCCATCATTGATTCCTCAGGGTTTACAGAAGTGTTGCTGGTATTGTTCATTTCTTCACCTCCGGTCTTCTTACTTCTCTGTCTTTTTCCCGGCATTGCTTCATCCGTGTTCACTGGCACCAAATGTTCGGATAGTCTTAATGGTTATTTCCTCGCGTTGTGTTACGCTTAGCTTTTTAACTTAATGCTTTATTTATCTTAACTTCGCTTAACTTTCTTAAAACCAGTATAACGCCTTATGGGCGACTAACGGAGCGAGCGAGAGGGTGAGCCTTGCACGTGCGAAATTTCGAGGGGGTACCTCCAGCTGACTTGTGCACGGCACCCTACTAACCGGTCTCTAGCGATGTGCTAAATTTGAGCACAATCGGCCCAGCCGTTCTCGAGATCTGAAATCGGCACCCTGCACGTGCGCACGTGCAAAATGGGTCCCAACTAACTTTTGCACGGCACCCTACTAACCGGCCCCTAACCATGTGCCAAATTTGAACGCCATCGGTCCAGCCGTTCTCGAGATTTGGAATCGACCCCTGCACGTGCGCACGTGCAGCAGCACCCCAACTTTGGCACATGGATATGTATTGCCTAGTGGGTGCCTACCTACATGCCAACTTTCAGCGCAATCGGCCAAGTAGTTACCGAGATATTGCAACAATTACAAAAGTGACACCTCTTCGTTTTGCACGTGGCACGTGCATAAGGGGTCACCCACATGCATCGGCAATAGTCCAATACTTGGTAGAAGGAATGAAGCTACCCTACAAAAATTACCGCGTGTAAATCGGTCAAGTGGTTGCTGAGATATAAGCCTCGCAAAAGCGTGACCACGGCCGGCCGGCCGGCCGGCCGCTCATACTCAGAAATTTCCGTTAATTACGGAGCGAGCGAAGCGAGCGTAGTCTTTCCTTAGATTAACGGAAATTTCTGAGTATGAGCGGCCGGCCGGCCGGCCGGCCGGCCGTGGTCACGCTTTTGGGAGGCTTATATCTCAGCAACCACTTGACCGATTTACACGCGGTAATTTTTGTAGGGTAGCTTCATTCCTTCTACCAAGTATTGGACTATTCCTGATGCATGTGGGTGACCCCTTATGCACGTGCCACGTGCAAAACGAAGAGGTGTCCGTTTTGTAATTGTTGCAATATCTCGGTAACTACTTGGCCGATTGCGCTGAAAGTTGGCATGTAGGTAGGCACCCACTAGGCACTGCATATCCATGTGCCACAGTTGGGGTGCTGCTGCACGTGCGCACGTGCAGGGGTCGTTTCCAGATCTCGAGAACGGCTCGACCGATTGCGCTCAAATTTGGTACACAGTTAAGGACCAGTTAGTAGGGTGCCGTGCACAAGTCAGTTGGGACCCATTTTGCACGTGCGCACGTGCAGGGTGCCGCTTCCAGATCTCGAGAACGGCTGGGCCAATTGTGCCCAAATTTGGCACATCGCTAGAGACCGGTTAGTAGGGTGCCGTGCACAAATCAGTTGGAGGTGTTGCGTCGTCGCGTCACTCACACACACAGCGAAGACGGCACTGCGTTCGGAGCTGTATTGACGGTCCGCTCTGTGACACGTCCGGGGAGCGACTACCCCGTCCTCCCCGCCCGGCCGGCTGGCCCCGGCACGCCGACCGGTCACCGCCGGAGGCGCCGAGCGGCACCGGTACGATACCTGACAAGGGCGGCAGAGACTGTACACTACATCCCTCCCCAACTTATCTTTAAGTACATCACAAAGGAAATGACAATTAAACGAATAGTTCATGCTCCTCGTTCAGTGGCTTACAACGTTCCCGAACCACTGGGGTTTCACACTGAGTCGACCACTGCGCGTGCGGAGTCCTACACATTGGTCAGCCGCCTCGTCAGGAGGTCGGTCTGCCCGGGCGCTCGGCGTAGCGGCGCACGCCGGACCCTCGCGGCGTGGAAGAGAGAACGGCTCAACGAAATCACGCGGTTCAACATACTGTTTAACATAACTGCTGTTTCGCTTAAACAACTTTCCATCAGGCCTTCTCACCGTCACCTGAGAGCCGCTCACCGACACGACTCTATACGGCTCTGAGAAGAAAGCTCCTGACAGTTTAGTGAGTCTGTTCGGAATTTTCACCAGCACTCTGTCACCGACACTGATGTTGGCTGGCATTGTGTGTCGTTGTCGATCAGCGTAGCGTTTCCCCGCCTCACGGTAGCGCGCGTTCCTCTGCTGTACGACCGGCCGGTCGGGTGCCGGTGCGGGACCAGAGGCGGCCGGCATCTTGGTGCGCAGCCGCCGACCGCAAAGCAGCTCGGCGGGACTGACCCCCGTGGCGGGGTGAGGCGTGGTGCGGTACGCCAGCAGGAACGTCGGCAGGCTGGACGGCCAGCTCCGCCCCTCCGCCACGGCGGTCCGGATGGCCTTCAGCAGCGTCCGGTTCTGACGCTCGACAGAACCATTAGCCTGTGGCCAGAGAGGTGTCACCGTCAGATGTCGGATCCCACGCACCTTACAGAAGTCATCAAACTCGGCCGAGGTGAGGTTGCGAGCGTTATCGGTTGTTAACGTCAGCGGAAAACCATGGCTAGCAAACATCTTATCGAGACGAATAATGATTTCCTGGGTTGTGGTTTGAAACACTGTTTCGACTTCCACCCACTTCGAGTACTTGTCGATTACCACAAGAAGGCTCTCACCACCAGGAAACGGTCCACACAGATCAAGGTTTAAGTCTTCCCAGGGCCCTGATGGAAGTTCTGTGGTGCATATAGGCTCAGGCGGGTTCCCTGCAGACACGACCTGGCACGCATGGCACGACCTTACCAGTCTCTCAACGTCTACGTCCACTCCTGGCCACCATACGCAGCTTCTGAGCCTCTGCTTTGTACGGACGACACCCTGGTGCCCCTCATGTGCCAGGTTTAGGACCTTCCCGCGAAGTCGATCTGGAATAACGAGGCGATTTCCCCGTAACAACATGTTGTCGCATACAGATAGCTCCTGCCACAACATTCGGTACGGCCTTGGGCAGTCCTGCTTCTTACCGGTTGGCAGACTTCGCATCACCAGCTGTAACTGGTCGTCTCGGGCCGTCTCCTTTTGAATGTCACTCTTCTGTAGCGCGGACGGGACGGCGTGACTGGTCACAAAACGTGCGTAGTGGTCGCCGCCGTTGCCGCCAGCAGGAGCCGGTGTCTGTGTCAGTCGGCTGAAACAGTCAGCGATGTTAAGCCGTCCCGAGACATGCTTCACACGGTAGCGATACGGTTGCAGACGCAGCACCCACCGTTCAATCCTGGCTGGTGGCTTAGAGCCAGGTGAGAAAATCGCCAGGAGTGCTTTGTGGTCAGTGAGGAGGTCAAAATCAATGCCGTACAGGTACAAATGGAACCGCTCACAGCCCCAAACCACCGCCAGAGCCTCCCGCTCTGTCTGGGAATACCGCCTCTCGACATCACTCAAACTTCGGCTGGCATACTCAACTGGCTTGAGCACACCTGAGCGCTGTCTCTGAAGCAGGACTGCGCCGAGGCCCACCGGGGAAGCGTCCACGACAAGTTGGGTCTCTGCTGTCAGGGAGAAATAAGCGAGAACGTTCCTGTTGGCCAGCCTCCGCTTCAACTCGTTGAAGGCGTCGTTCTCCGGCTTCTCCCATTTCCACGCCACCCCAGACCTCGTCAGGTCACGGAGAGGTGCCGAAACTGTTGACAGATCGGGGATAAAACGACCCAGAAATGTCACAAGACCCAGGAAAGACCGCACTTCGGAAGCATCCTGCGGTTCTCTGGCGTTCAAGACAGCCGCCACCTTCTCGCCGGTCGCAGTGACTCCGGCTTTCCCCAGACGGTGCCCCATGAACGTCAGCTCAGTCATGCCAAACTGACACTTCTCACCGTTCAGTTTCAGGCCGGCATCCTGTAAACGGCGGAGGACTACGTCCAGACGACGATCATGCTGCGCGACTGTCGCGGCATACACGATGATGTCGTCGGCAATGTTGCGGACGCCGTCACACCCCTCCAGCACCTGCTGAATCACCCGCTGGTGCATCTCTGGGGCACACGAGATACCGAACATCAAACGTTTGTACCTATATAAGCCCTTGTGTGTGACGAAAGTGGTAATGCTCCGTGATGACTCATCCAGCTCGATCTGGTGGAATGATTGTGCCAAATCTAGTTTGGAAAACACCGTAGACCCTGTCATTTCATGCAACACATCATCCAGTGTGGGCATTGGATGCCTCTCTCGAATCACAGCTGCATTAGCCCG